CGATCTGGTTGGAATCCTGCTTGTTGTCCGCGAGTATCCTTGAGGGTGTCCGGCAACGAAGTATCACAGAAATGAACTCTTTTGATGATCCCCCGTTGGTTCACACAGTCGTTAATTGACCCCTTCTTGAAGATCGGAACGATCAACTCCGGATAACGGCATGCGCTCTTCCAACTAAATGCTGTGTGGTAAACCAGCTATAAAGTCGACGAGATTCAACTCCAGTTTAAAAAGCACGCTGAGAAGTATTCCTTCTCTATAGCAATTTAATTCAACGGCGTACTTCTAGTTCTTTAGGGGACTATCATGTTGCCGCCCTAGGAGTTTCGGTTGCGATCGCCACACTTGCGCCATGCCAGTTGACCCGTTCACTTAAGCAATTTGCCCAGCGATCAAGTCGTTCTTTATTGTGGACCTCTGTCCATTTTTGTTGCAGTTGGTTTCCCTGACCGGTATGCGGTGTTGTCCGCTGTTGTATATCAGATGAAACACTGTTCTCGGATGCAGATTTTACTTTCATTTCAGCATCTTTTTTGGTTCATCAGTTTTCGCGATAATTCTTAGGTGGGCATGCGCCTTGCACCTTCAAAGTACAAAGTTATGCTGCAAGATTGGGTGTCGCCAAATCCCGTTGTGAAACTAAGCGGTAAGGAACCAGCTGAAATGGACTGCATCTCGTACTCGGGCAGCTGCATGACCAACGACAGTAGCGCATCAAAGGATATAACAGCCCACGTTTTCAAGGTTCCAGCAGCGTACGCAGGACTGGTGATGACGTGACGTTTCACTGAAGTTGAAAAGTCGGTATATCAGGCCACTGTATGATCAGTTCTGCTCTACGGCTGTTAAACCTTGAATTTGCGGGTAGAAGATATCCTTAAGCTGCTGGTTTTCGTCAATAGATGTTTATGTAGTTTGGCCCAAGCGGGGTGGAGTGACCGGGTTAGTAACTTAGACGTAAGTCTTCGGGTGTTTGGGAATACATCAAACACCAACTCGCTATCACCGTGAATTCAGCTCAACAGACTCTGTTCGTTAGGACACGTTTTGCATATGCCCAGCGGTCGTCTATCGCACTGCACCTTACTTGCAGTGGCCGCTGCAGACTGGAGAAAGCCACGTGGAGGCCAGCAGATGAAGTGGAGACGAGGCATGAAGAAATGCACAGAGCGATTAGGTAGAGTAGGTGTTTCTCGTCCTCCGGGTAGGGGTCCAAAAGATTCCGTAACCGGACGGTTGGAGACACTGAAGGTCATATCAGCAATGATGACCTTGCTGTCACTTCTTATCAGACCAGAATGCTAGTATGTATGCACATTTAGACTGTCTGTTCCGTGTGTTGACCATCGAGGTTCGCTTTCTTTTTCATTCCCTAACAATAGGCCCAATCCGTATCCTCCTCACATATCTTTACTTACCTTTTATGCATTATGCGTTTGGTAGCGATCAATGAAGCTCGCTCCATTGTATTACGTTGAACGATGATGATTCTTAAGGTTTTTTTTCTTAACTGACGTTGCAGACACTCAGTTCGTATGTTGGTCCTGGAAGGTTGGGACATTACCTTCGTTTGATCAGGAATACGGACTTCTAAGAGATTCACCGTCATCCACGAATTTCGCGCTTGGCCTCGCAAGCAAATTTGCTGTTCAATACATATCGCCTCTAATTTAATCTCACCATTGATGTTCTCCACTACGTCGCGTTCTTCCTAGCTCGTTTCTAAGTTTCTCCTCATAACGTGTGCAGGCAGCTGGGTTACACGGGCTATGGTAACCTGAGATGACCGATGAGTCGAAGCGTGAAGTGCATGACCACACCCAACGTATGTGTAATACGATCTGCAATTTTGTACCGAGACACGCCAACGGTAGCTTTGTGGTCAATTTGGATCAACTTACCCGTTGAACTAGGACACCATATTGCCGTCTAACGGGAGCTGGTGCTCGAAAAGAACAATGATGAATTGCGCAGAGGTGAACTGTTCGCTCGGCGGGCAGACCAAAGCGCCTCGCCAGACAGTTTCGAATGCTCTCCGCTTTCCAACCTGCGCGCAATATCACCCGCTGCAATACAGTACGCGAGCTGTGGCTCATCCGAACGAGCTCGGTAAGCTTCTCGTAAAATTCACCCTTTTGTCAGTTTGGGCTGCAGTTGGTCGGTGCGTATACAGAAGTGAATAACAAACACCTTTTGATGTTGCGCCAACTGAACCCAGGAACCTAATTACGCATCAACGACTATTGACTAGTATCCAATCTCATCAATATAGAAATGGATAAAGGAGACCCAATGCTTCAAGTATCCAATCTATCATTGAGGCCTCAGCGTTATCGTGTAGTACGATTCACACCACACGTTGACCCATTGACCGCGTTCCATTGTCTCCTTATATACGAAGGACTAACCCAGAGCACTCAGATGGCTTATGATACTAGACAGGAATGCTTGCCTGGAATATAACCACGGGCCAGTCTGTGCTACATTCTCTGAACTTCAGTGGTTTTTGAGCATCAAGCGTCAACAGATGGTGAAAGTTAATGCAACCGTATTAAGTCATATATGAACATTACTTGCCTGATCTGTTTCGGCCCTACTAATAGTCCAGTTAAGCATCGGATCTATGCAAACACTCCGACTAGTGGAAAAGCAAATCTCAATTCCAGCTAACAGCAAGTCTAATGTAATACGCATTACCTTCAGGAGCGAGCTTGTCACAAATATAAGGATAAACCAAGAAACCTGGAGGTAACGACATGCAACTGAAGTGGAGTCGGTTAGTTCAACCGGAAACGTTCAATCACGAAGAAACTGCACCTTTACGTGATGTGATGGCCTGCGCGTCTCCGTGACCCAGCGAGCATTAAAAGATGTCTCAGGTCCAATAGTGCCTCAAAGGTCAATGGACAGAGGCCAGATGAAGCTGTCTCACAAGGCCAACAGAGAAGGACTTGGGTGTTATAGTCCACGAAGCTGTTCCATTAACTGTGCAAGGGCGTCATCCACAGCATACAAACATACCTACCTAAACGTTTTTAGTCATTTTGAACCATCTTTGTTCCCACGTCTGCTGTCAGCATGCATCCGGCCGGTATAGGGATTGTGCAGTGTGAAGGCCTAGAGTTCACTTCTCGACTAGATCCCGGTTAGTAGCCGCCTGTGCGCCATACATTTCGACGGGTCAACAGCTACAGGACGAAGAGATGATGTTTATTCGTCGTTTCCGTGTCCACCGACTGATTGTAGTTTGCCAGAGATGAAGGATGCATTCTACAGAGGCGCCTCTCAACTGTTCTGTTCTTACAACTATTCACCATGCATTTTGGTTCGCCGGTTTGTATAAAAGAGCACTGGTGGGTTTTCCGAGCTGGAAATGTGCTTCGAGGACGTTTCGTAGCCAGGCTAGGCAACATCATCAGGGCAACTTCCCAAAAGTTGCATGAGCGCAACTGTTTGCGATACCCAACCATATCGCTGTCTCTCAACTACTCCGAAGTGCTCAGTCAACGGAAATCGTGGTGGTCACTGGAAACTTCAATGCTCAATTGGGATCCCTGGATGAATCAGAATCAGGGTGGTGGTGGCGCAGTGGTTTAGTCGCTGTCACCGGCGTGCTTTGGACCCTACGATCCGAGGTTCGAGCCCCGCCACCCAACTTTCGTGGTAGGNCCTAACCTATCGGGGCCTTATGTGGTTCGCCACTCCAAGTTCCGGGGCTTAGGTTGCCGATTTCAACCATTGAACAGCAGGTCCTCGTGACTATGGGGTTTACCCCGCCTGCTGTTCATCACACCTAGGTGTGTAATAAAAAAAGAACGGCATCTTGGTGGTACAGATGCAGTCCCAACTAACTGGACGAATCAGTGTTGGGTCACGGCAGTCATACTCTCAAAGTGATCATCCCACCACACCGTTTGCAATGACTAGGATGTGCCCAGAATAACTCTGCGCACCCTATTCACGCCTGTCGGGAAATGTTTCAGCAAGGCTCGTGGAGACTAAGTCGATAGTGTGGTTCGCCACTCCGAGTCACGCGGATTAGGTTGCTAGTTTCTATCACCGCAAAGCAGGTCTTCGCGACTATGGGGTTCACCCAGCCTGCTGTTGATTGAACCGTTACACTGTGCTCAACCAGCTACCGGAACATATTGGGACAAATATCGCCTCAGTGAGTTTTTATGGAGGGGTTATCAGGATCCTTTTACCTTAGACGGTTGACCGATTTAGCTTCAGACAAGAATGAGCGAACACCACGGCAACCGACCTCGGTCGGTATAACATTCGCCTCAAAGTTTGAGAAAAAATGTGCAGGATGTTGAAAAATCGGTAATGGGGACCAAGTTACATGGCGAATTCAGTAAAGAGTAGTGTCAATCACGACTTGCAAATACCACTTCGCTATAGATTTCTCCATTCAATATCAATGACTCTGAGGGACAGACTCATAAGGAATGATTCTGTTTGAGTAATGCTCCGAACAATTACTATCGTTAGCTTATTGTTGAAAAATACAATAATGGCAGGTCGTTTTCATATAACAGAGTTTTCGGGTTGACGAACAAACGCGTACTGGTCAAATAGAAGACAAGCTAGGCGCACTGTCGACTGCATACGGCTAATAATCGCACAACAGAATGATTCAAGTTGTTGACACCTCCGACAGTTTCGGCCGGACATTGACAAATGGTGCACTTCTTCAAACTTGTTCTGTACCGACTGCGTTAACTCGATCGATGGTAACTATAAATCAGTCGACAGCTCTGTGATTGGACTACCCCAGCGTCGTCTGATCAGTCAACTGCAGGTCGGGTAACGGATTTCAGTCTCTGCCTTGCTCTTTTCGGGTTGTCTTGAACGTAAACTCGAGTGACTCGTTACAATGAGTCTGTTTTTTATACATTGACATCAGTTCCGTCCACGACCTAATACATCACTCAAGCAACAACGGCATCAAATACATTTCATTGCGAAATTTATTTGTACAAAACGATATAATGGGATTATTCTTGCGCAACAAAGGGGTTGGCAATAGCTTCCATACCATCGGCGGGACAGACCAATTCGACAGATGGACCTCTGGAATGAGTAAAACATAGAAAATAATTTGAATTGTGACTATTATTGTGCATACTGCAAAATAAAACCGATGGAAGTTAGCGACTGTGGAACTAATAAAAGAAAAACAGAAGAGTGAATTGACGCTACAGCCCTGTCAAGGGTATCCTCGGCGTATGGTGGAAAACGGTTTAAAATCTCTGCAGTGAATCAGGGCGATCCAATTTTCCGAGGAACGTTTCTTGCCTGGTTCTGAGGCAATAAGATACGTGGCAAAATACTCAGGTGTTTGTGATGAGTTGGGCATTTCGTAACAGACTACTTTTTATCGACCAGATGATCAAACTTAGGATGAAAACAATGAAAAAAGATTGATTCGGAGTAATCAAGAAACTATTAATTCGGACCACACAATTTATGGCAATAATTAGTAAGATGGAGGAACCCCCATGACGAAACCATATAGGATGGCGCCCTCTGAAAGCTCAGCTGCTTTGACGGTGAGTGGAGGCTCATTTTCACACCAAAAGTGCTATCTGGGGATGTCTTTCTAAAGGGCTGTACAGGAGAAGACATGCTCACTATCATCTCGTGAGCAAAGTGGACATTGGGGTCCTAGACGGATTGATGGTGAAGGACAGCTAGATCTAGTGAATAAAAAATTTTGAGTCCAGACCCACCTCCCACGAAGAGGCGTACGGGATTTTCACGGTACATTCCGATTGCGACGGTCGCCGGCTGGATAGAACACCACGGATACGTAAGTCTTGTCCCGCGGACATAGTGTCTGAGATCGACCTCTAAGGGACGGCAGTATCCGTACGCACGCCCCCAGCCTTGCGAAAAAGTTTTTGGTTACACAACGGCCCCTTTTGTGAATGGCGTACTTTGGTTCTTTTACATAGTTTGAACATGACATGTCTAAAATCTAATATAACAATAAGACAGGTGTGGTGTGAGCACAGTGGCATTGCTATTTCCACTAACAATGCCAATACAACGGTGTGAATACATCCAAGGTTTTACCTGAATTGATCCGATGAGTCCGTATGGCCGGTTTTTCAATACACTGTCAACCGTACACGTCAGGCATAAATTATAAGGCGGTCAGGGAAACGAGAGGTGTAAAATAATGCGAATTTTTGTTCACCAATGGGAACGGGTGGTCAAATCAAGCTATTTGTTTTCCCCCTACGCACCCTAATGCAACTGGCTTCCGTGAGGCAAATCGCAATGATCTGTATTCATAGCCGTTATTGACGAATTCCGATTCACTGTCAGCTGTTGTGGAGACCCAAATTTCACCTTGACGCCACCCTGTTGATAAAAGCTGACAACAAGCACAACCAAGCAAGCTTTCGTATGCATTATCGATGAGTTTGTGCGGATATCATGACTTCCAGTAGGCCGAAAGGGTCTAGGAGATCCAACAACAGAAAATTACTTCGTCCAATTTGAGTCGCCGATAGAAAACAGCAGCGTTAGTGAAACGATTTGTAAGGTAAATATAGGTGTCACGAAGGTCAGGCAGAGTACCTCAAAGAAAAGTTGAATTTCCAATTTACACGCAGTCGTTCAAACAGTTTGGACAGGTATCCTGTAATTTGGCATTTGAAAAGAACATCCGCAACATTCAATTTCTGCACTCCACAAAGTATCAAGGCCTTTCAAGATCTTTCGTAGATGTTATACCAAGACGGTGAAACTCGATTGTTAAGAGATCCACAAACGCTGCACTCAAAAGCGTTTTAGCTACACAGAGATGGTCCGATCTTTGATGAGCAATCAACGGGCATCCCAAATACAAAGAGGACACACGTGGCTAGTGTACCAACATCAAGACTTGAGCTTAATGGCAAAAGCGCCTAATTCTGCGTTCGTCAAACTCAGATAAGTAATCTTGGAAGAAACAACCTGGTTTTTTGCACCGGTTGCAGACGTATCCATTGCCCAATCCAAAAGCTAACTACCATGGCGTTTGTCGACAACCCTGCAGCTTTTGATTTCATCGATAAACCAATATTAGTGAAGTACTCGTTGATGATTTCAACTGGGCTACTGGATATCACCATTTCTTGTCAGTTAGGTCATTGATTATATGATAAATAATGGTATTACAGCCTAATTCCGAATGAAATAGAGATCCTCTCAACTGTATAGCCACGAAATCACCTCTCTCACTATAAATAGGAATGCTAGGCAAACCGTTTGCCATTAGCCCTCTGTTCCATCGAATTGCTCCATCAAGACTAACCGCGACCTATTGTGGAGATCATCTTCTTTGGTGTTCAGATAGATGTTATCAGCACATTTGTTCAACTTAGAAGTAAAGTAACAACGATGAGGTTCGAGGTTGCGTTGGGCATAGATAGTTTTGCCCCTTAATCGAGGTAATTACATTTCACTCACTTTAACGACCCGGGCGCTTATTATTTGTGCGATCATCGCCTTGGCTAGCGACCGTTGNGATTTCCGGAAGAAGCGACAGGGCGGTCAATCCCACATAAAAGCCATTCTATCATTTACCATCTGGTTTACATTCCTGAAACACCGGATTCCTTTTATTGATTTGATCGGAAAGGAAAGATAATCTAAATTACGAGGGTTAATCTATTCTACTTAAATTCTTTGATCGATGTGAAACATGTCATTTTAAGGTATTACAATAGAGTATATGAAAACAAGTGAGCACAGATGCGTCCACCACAAATTTGTAGCACTATGTACAGTGGTGATACCTTGCCTGTTTCAGGGTGGTGACTAAATACTAATAAACATTCTTTTAAAATGTCCATGGGTTTGAAACTATTGGAGTTACGCTACTTTACTTGAAAGAACGTCTACAAATATGTGATCACAACGGGCAGAATCGGATCAGCACGAACAAAAATAAACAATCAATCGCGATTGTGGTGAGTAACCAGCAATACTCACCTGCAAACGACCAGACCCAGTTCTCGGGTGTCTTCGGTCAACCGGTGTGGATCGTCCGGATCGCGGAGGTACTCAGTGGTACAGTCTAAGACCATGTTCTGGAGATTGTCACAACCTTTTAGTATCCCTGTGGCTTCGCGTCCGCCGGAAAATTTCACACGAATTCTTTTGTCCAAGTATTTGCTTAGATCAATGATAGACTCCTTGCGTCGTTTTTCAACTGGCTTATCTCCGGATGACATGCTCGATTTGGCTAAACAGTAAAAAGGAGAAAGAAGAGACGTAAAGTTCTCGAGTTGCTTTCCTCATCGGTACTAAGGCAGACAGTGTTCACAAGGAACAGCTATCATATGAAAACTCGATGAGGACAGACATCCCACAGGACCGACTCGGTGCTGGGATGCTGACTTCTAATCTAGAACCTGGGTTTAAAATGAGACATAGAGGGAGAAATATCTCGAAAACAGAGCCTGTTTAATGAGAGGATTTTGATTTTCCCCCTAGTCGGAGGAAAACGACCACAATAAATTATAAAAATGAGATGATTGCTGTCTCTGCCATTGTAAGCAGCACATTGATATAATATGGAACAAAAATTAGATGCCCTAGAACGACAATCGGATCCTAGTTATTCCTTATCACTACGACTCAATCGGTGCAAATATCAAAATTGTACTAAGTGTCGATTCCCGTTAATTACATGCGGAATAGATAAAGAAACAGGTCAATCGAAAATATCAACCGATAAAATCCTTGGGGCAGTATTGAGGATGCACGCATGCTACTCAACCACGCGGTTCAAAAACAGATAAGGAGTATGTTGGGCCATAAAGTGAACTACATGGAGAAGCGCTTCGTTTTCTTTAGGACGTGCTATGAGCACACTACTACTTCTCTATATGGTCCCACCTCAGTGACTAGCAACGACTAAGCATAACCGTGCGAGTTCCTCATGTGGGCCTGCCTTTATCCCACACCTAATCTGAGCTGGATGGTGATGACCCGGTGGTAACGTCACCAAATTATCGCCCTCGGGGAAGTGTGCTCGAATCTCACCACCACCACCCGACTTTCCTTATTGTGTGTTGAATGACAGCCGTTTGATTGGCCGCTTCCCCTTCCTGAAAATTGTATCTTTGTACATGCAATAAAAGGAAATAAACTGAATAGGACCCAGATAGACTGACGCTAATCCGCCTCACTAATACGTGGGAAAAATTATATGATAGTGGAGATACAGTCATTTCGAGTCATACACCACAGAAACGAAGCCGGAAAATGCCATTTTTATCACAATTTCGGAAAAAAATTCGCGCTTCTTTTGTTGGTTTTATCTCAGCTACTAAATACTATTCAGTAGTATACGTCAATTTCCGTGCGCCATAGGTGGTGGCTGCATCCGCATGGAGGATAAACAAAAGTAAAAAACCGCCCAAATAATTTGCATTTCATGTCAGGCAATCGGAATAGACAAATTTCAGGAACTGTTCAATCAAACACTCCAGATTTTCATAAGCTAAAAGGGAAAAAATGAACAAAATTGTATGAAATCATCTTTATTACACGATGAGATAAGAAAAAATCAAATATTAATCACATGTAAAATCGATTATGTCAAGTCAATAGGTATTTCCACATAGTCCGTAGATGAAGCCAAGTGTCCTACTGAGAGCAAAGAATGGTCTGCGTCCGGTTCGCTTGTGTGTCGGAGAGGGAGGGAATGGATACATATTGATGCGTTAATGTGTACAAGTCTTCCGAGAACAAGAGGGAGAAAGATAAATGGAAGTACAAAAAAATAACAGTGGAAGAACAGATTAATTGTCCCCCCAGACAATTGCTTTGTTCATACGTTCACAAGAGACCAACGTGTGACCAGCAGGATTCCAATGACAACAAACGACGACATTCCTGTAAAGAAAGAAATCGCGATCAGTAAACATGAATGAAGATATTTGTTTCTGGAACTTTGTCGTACAAATCGGAACTAAGTTAAGCTCACGAGCATTTAAAAGCGATTTCGAACTTTTTGAGTAACCTCAGCAGACCCAACCAAGTAGAAAAGGCTATACAGGGCTTTGAGTTACTTAATCAACCTTTCCTTCGCTCTAGATACCAAGAAAATCATGAATAAACAGAAGACAATCCTCCACTACTTGCAATTATCCTCGCACAAAGGTAGGTTTATTTCCATATTCATTTCTATCTTATTTCATGTGGGTAATGGAGGATTTGCTTAAATTTCAAATGGGAATTCGTCGTGTATATAGCAAATGAAGCGTGAACTGAAAAGCTCGGAAGCACTGGACAGCTGTTTCGACCTGGTTGGATCTCATCAGCAGCGCGAATCCATCGACCCGACTGGGGAACGAACCCGGGATTTCATGGGCAAAACGCAAGCGTGCTACCCAATACGCCACCGGGCAGCTCATCAGACCCTGGAGGCTAGTGCTGCGTTGAGCAGGGTTCGTGGCCTGCAACAAACTTTCAAAGATGGGTTGTGCTATATCGTGTCAATGTAAAATGAAAAACGGTCTGATCAACTGCTCGGTGGCGTAGTGGGTAGCACGCTTGCGTTTTACCCATGAAGTCCCGGGTTCGCTCCCCAGTCGGGTGGATGGATTCGCACTGCTGATGAGATCCACCCAGGTCGAAACAGTTGTCCAGTGCTTCCGAGCTTTTCAGTTCACGCATCAGTTGCTATATACACGACGAATTCCCATTTGAAGTTTCTATCTTACTCGATCTGAAAGCGGTTTTCAACTCAGTCGACCGCTCAAAAATTTGGCACTGCCTCTCTCTGAAGGGTGTGCGGAGGAGTTTATTTTGCGATTTCTTATTACCAAAAGTCGAAGTCGAGTCCAAGCTTACGGCACTTTTTCGCCCGAGTTGTCTACGAAAAGTGTTGTTCGTCAGGGTTGCACTCCCTCTGCGTTTCTATTTGACTTTGTCATCGATGTAATTCTTGAAACAGCAGCACCCGGTGGGCGCATCACGGATGAATTGTCCGCTCGCATACAGAAGGCTCGATTGGTATTTGCCTATGGAGATATCAGTGGCGCCGTCGTGACATCCGGCTGTTTATGAAGGGCCGAGTGTATGGCGCAGCAGTTCGGCCAGTCCTGCTATATGACTCAGAAACCTGACCAATAAGAAATCAGGATAGAAATAGACTGTCGGTGTTTGAACACCGTTGTCTACGCAGCATTGCACGAACCTGGTGGGGCAAGACAACCCAAGAAACCGGAGCACGGAAGTGCAAGTTTAGTTGTTGTATATACTGAAACGGAAAAACCGAAACACTACAAGGAGGCTCTGTGGGACTATTAGGATTGGAAAGCCTAAATCCCAGGATAACGGGGGGTCAATTGCAACGACTGCAACCGAATGAGTTTGGTACAGTTCGGAATACAACTGCATTTAGGACACTATGCGAGTCTAGTTGCATTGTCCAGGGTTTCGGGAATCGATTCATTCCAACCCTCGCAAATAGCCCGAACGCTACGAATCCGACGATATTGAATGGTTGAGGCTGCAAACCGCCTCAGACACGTCACAGAATGACCGCTTTCAACCATTTTCTTCTCAATCTATCCGTCTGAGTACGCGCTCGACACATGTCGTAAACAGCGCAGTCTGTGATAATCAGTTCAGTGTGAAATAGACCACATTTATCATCAACGTTCAATGAAATAAAGTGAAGTGAACTTCGCTCACAATGCATGCACTGTTGGCATCTGTAACTTGCCTAGATAGTGGGCCTATTGCGAGCCAGGGGAAGAGATAGAGAAAGTCAATGGAATAAACAGAAAACTCCATTTAGCTATGCATACACATCCTTTCAAACATTCTGTCCCCGTAAGAAGGGAAAACATGAATGCTACTGCTGTCGGTTCGATATCATGTCCTTCACTAATTCCAACCACACAGGGAAAAGTCTTTTGCACAGCAGCTTGAAACATAGGAGACACCTACTCCACCTAACACCTTTGTGATTTTCTTTAAGTTTCGCCTTCGCATCATATATTGAACTCTAAACAGGAGCAGCAACTGCAAATAAAGTGCAGTGCGGTAGATGACTGCCAGGTACATGAAATACGTGTCCTAATCAGGAAAGCCTACTAGTCTGAATTCGGTGTGACACCGAACTATCCCAGATAAATGACGGATAACCTCGGTGTTACTTATATGCTCGTTCCATCTGACTACCGCCAAACTACGCAAACAGTGACGGTGGAAGACTTCCAGACGATAAATGTCTTTCAAATTTAGAGTCATAAAACCGTAAAGAATAACTAGCCGCACAGTAGGGCTGTTGATTCCATTCAGCCCTGCACCCAAAACATTGTATGACCCATTACACTCGTCC